GGCCACGGGCGTCTCTCTGCTCTCTGTGCCAGGCTCTGAGTGTGCCCTTACGTGAGTCCCCCACTTTCCTCAGTTCCCCTTCCCCCTGCAATCCCGATGGGGGATTGGGAAATGAGGGGACAGAGAGCTTGAGTGACTTGCTCATGGATTCATTATGAAAAGGACAGAGTCAAATCTGACCCTATGCCTAACTCACTCTGCATTTCTAGGGGAAAACACATGCTCTGGCTTTTTAAAAATAATTATTTGTGAGTTAAAGAGCAATCTGCCCTGGCTGGTGTGGCTCAGTGGACTGAGCACCGGCCTAGGAACTGAGAGGTTGCTGGTTGGATTCCCAGTCAGAGCCCATGCCTGGGGTGTGGTTCAGGTCCCCAGTTGGGGCCCTGGGAGAGGCAACCAATTGGTGTTTCTCTCTCACATCGATGTTTTTTCACCTCTCTTTCTCCCTCCCTTCCCTCTCTAAAAAAACGTAAATAAAATCTTTAAAAAAAACAAACAGACAAAAATCTATTTGTCTGCTTCTTTTCGGAGGAGCCTCGTGCCCGCATCGTCAGCGAAGAGATTATCAGCCACTGACCTGGAATGACCCCGGGGAGTGGAAGCCCTGGGTAACTCCCACCCAGCGTCCCCTGGGGCACTGAGGCTCACAGTGTGGTCCTAGAACCCAGGAACTGAGACTGCTTGCCCCTTCAGGACCATAGGCTCACTTGGCTTCTTCTCACAGTGCCGCTGCCCCCACCGCACCACCTGCAGGAGGTGGAGGTCCCCATCGTGCCAGATGAGATCTGCAGGCAGCAATACCGTCCAATCAACAGGATTATCAAGGACGACATGCTGTGTGCGGGGAGCAATGGCCGGGACTCCTGCCAGGTGAGACCCCTGCCCCGACGGTGGCCTCCATCCATTGCTCCTGCTCACAGGGACCATGAGTATTGAACATCTGTCTCTTCTTCCCACAGGGTGACTCTGGGGGCCCCTTGGTCTGTAACTGGAGGGGCACCTGGTTGCAGGTTGGAGTGGTGAGCTGGGGGATAGACTGCGGCCTTCCCAACTATCCTGGAGTCTATGCCCGAGTGACATCCTACTTGTCCTGGATCCATCACTATGTCCACTCGTCTACTTGAGCCCAGGGCAGGGACAAGGATGCTGCCCACATGCGATGAAGATGGTCACTCTAGGGGGTTTGGAGGACCTTCCCTGCTCCTTCCCCAAAGCTAGCTCTTCATTGCCCCTAGCACCCTCCTCCACCCCCTGCTCTGAGGTCCTTCTGCCTCTGTCCCCTCCTTCAGCGTCTGTCTCTCCCCTGACAGGTAAAAGGGAGAGGCCCCACTGGGGTCTGGGTGGGAGGCAGCATTCCAGGTCTCCTGCCCACTCTGTAGCTCATTAAACTGCATCCAAACCAGACTGTGGACTGAGTGCACTTACCTGGGGGTGTGGCCGAGGCAGCTGCTGGGTGGGATCTTCCCGGTGGGGGAGCCCAGGCTACAGGAATGGGACGGTGTTGGGGGAGGCGGATGGGCAACCGTGACCGCAGCATGGACCAGGGCCACGTGGGTGGGTTCTCTTGGTGGGGTGAAGGGCAGGTTTTCTGCCTGGGCTCTGAAACCTCAGGACAGAGGACAGCTCCCAGAAGGGTCCCGCATCAGAACTCCATCCTTCCTCCTTCCATCACGATCAGCCTGTAACAGGTGTTTGGAATGACTCAGGATTGACAGTATATAAGCGGTAAGATTGGTGTTTCCATTGTCACCCCTGCTCTTTCTGAGTCTGTGCACTAACCCTCCTTCTCCAGTTTGATCAGCTTCTTAGACCCAGTAGAGTACAGTCCCATTACTAGGGGTGAAAAAGGCTACCTGCTCCAATGCAGGACCTCAGTCTCTCATTCAGAGCTTCTCCTGAGCAGGGGAACCTGCAGGAGGCCAGGGACAAGCCCAGTTTCTGGTTCTTCCCATCCCAAGTCACTGTGCTTCCTTGACTCCTGGGTCCTCATTGGTTGGAAGTGGCCAGAGAGGAGGAGTGAAGAGGCAAAGTTCATCATTCACTGGTACCATTCTCCTGGGTTTGCGCCCCCTGCTGGAGAGAAACTAGGCTGCAGCATCCTCCCAATCCTCTGCAAAGCTCCTGTCTTTTTACTGTGAGAGAGATGGGGGTTCCAGTGGACCAGAAAAGCTCCTCTGTTTCAAATCTAGTCAGCTGTGAAGTCACTCCCCGCCCAGAGGCAGTGACGTGCAGGCTCCTGAACTCACCCAATTCCTGGAAGGGTCCCTGCACCTTCAGGGTGGGCCAGGACCCAACAGAGCCCTTGCAGCCTGAGGCAGCCCTCTATTGTGGGGGAGGGGCCTCCACACCCTTCAGAGACAGGCTGGTCCCCAGGGTCTCATTTCTGAAATGTGATGGCAGCCTTTGAGACCTTTCAGTAACCATGACCCCTGCCCTCTGGGGCCAGGGGGAAACAGTCCTCTCCTCTAACTGTGACCTGGGTGCCTGGGGGGAGATTGGACTCTGGAGTTAGGGAGAGTGAAAGTTCCAGGGTGGGTGGGTCAGGAGCTGCTTCCCCCACGTGCCCAGGGACTGAAGCCTGGCTTTCCTGGGGGCCAGAAGCTCTCCAGCAAATCCTTTTTCTGGGAAAATGAGGCCTGAGATTCAGCTGGAAGGCACCACTGTGCAGATGGGCCCCCCTGGGGGTCTGCTCCACCCAGGGAGGGGGGAGGGGCTGACACAAGCATAGCCTGGCACTGTGCTCCTTGGAGTCCCAGGCACCTGTCAGTGGGGCCACGCTGAAGGGCGGCTGCCAGGTGACCCACTCAGATCCAGCTGGCCCTCTGCCTGCAGGAGGGTGTGGTTGTGCCTGCCTTGCTGCCTGGTTCCGTGGCATTGTGAATCCCTTTGCAGCCTGTGAAAGCTTTCCTCTGCTGGTGGGAGGCATGGTCAGACCTTTAGTGTTTGCAGGGTGAAGAATGAGGGTCTGAGAGACTCCAGGGCCAGAGCTTCCAAGGGAGAGAGAGGGGCCTGGCTAGGACCTGGTGTTGGAGGGAGGGCCGGGTCTGACCAACCTGAGCTGGGACTGTGTCTGCAGGCATGGCCAGAGGGTGGACCCTCAGGGCTCTCTCTCCTGAGGATGGGCCCAGGGCCCTGCCCCCATCTGGCTGAAATCACCACCAGAGCACCTCACCTCCTGGGCTTGGCTGCAAAGCCAGGAGGGCTGAGCCAGGAGGCCTGGGCTGGAGCTGGAGGCTGGGGATGGCGTGTTGCTTCTAGTGTCTGGGATCAGTTCCCACTGGGCCCTGGCCTGGCAGAGGTGGGAGCTGGGGTAGCTGAGCCAGCGAGGCCTTGTCTGCCCAAAGAGGTGTCACCCCGTGGCCAGTCAGTGCCCAGGGGGACTGTGGGGTAAGGGCTTCCAGGTGTTGGCCTCTTCTCCTACGATGAGGGAGGGAGAGACACCTTCAGGACTTTGAAGCGCATTCTATCTAAGGGCATGCCCCTCCCTCAAGGTGGAACAACACCTCAGTCACTCTCAGGGTCTCCCACCTGCACTGGTGTCCTGGGGTGGCAGCAACAAAAACCCACAGATGGTGGGCTATGTCCTTAAAACAACACAAATCCATCCTCTTACTGTCTGGAGGCCAGAAGTCCAAAATCAAGGTGTCTGGGGCCACAGCTGTTCCCCTTACTATCTGGAGTCTCAGTGCTGGGAAGGGCCCCACTGCAGGTCCAGGCTGTCATCAGTGCCGAGGGACTCGGCAGACACAGGGTGTCAAAGTGTTACTGTTGGCAAGCCCCAGTGGGGGAGTGACAATGTAAGGGCCAAGCAAAGTGCACCAAGGAATATTATTACTGCTACTATGACTACTACTACTACTATTATTATTATTATTTTGTCCTCACCCAAGTACATTTTTTTCATTGCTTTCTATAGGGAGAGGAAGGGGGAGAAACAGGGATGCGAGAGGGAAGCACTGATCACTTGCCTCCCACACCTGCCCAGACCAGGGATCCTTCCAATCCGGACCCGGGTCGCATGCTCCTGCACCCAGACTGAGGACCAAGCTGCAAGCTGGGTACGTGCCCTCATTGGGATTTGAACCTGTAACCTTTCTGTATGGGATGGCCCTCCGACCACCTGAGCCACGCTGGCCAGGGCCCAAGGAACATCACTGAGATGTAAGTTACAGCTGGAGCCTGGACGTGTTGAGTTCCTTGTGTCTAGGGGCCAGTGGGCATGAGGAAGTGCCACCACCTGGGTAGGGACAGTGGCCCTGACCAGTGGGAGGAGGAAGGGCTGCTGTGTCACAGTGGAGGGGGGGGAAGATGGGGGCACTTCTGTGTCCCTGGGCACCTCCTCCTCAATTGTGGTGGCAGTGGACAGCTGCAGCTCCCTGTGCCGAGAGTCCATGTGACCAGACAGTGCTCAGACCCTCGGGGATAGGGGCATGCGATGTGCTACTAGGTCAGAGCCAAAGTGCAGAGCAAAGGGGGAAGATCCACAGGGACAGTGGAGGGGCTCCCTTGGCCTCAGTTGTACTGGGAACCTCTCCTTCCCAGCTTGCCTGGGCACAGAGGTCCTCTGTGGTCCTGGAGCAGCTGTCCCCAGCACCCGAGGCAGAGGGGCATGGGCAGTGCTGGACACAGAGAGGGGCCTCCAGCGCTTCCTCCAGGGTGGGACTTGAGGACCCCTGTCTGGGAGGGCTGGCAGTTCCTTCTGGTTGTGTCACCCCACCAGGTCCCTCTTGGTCACTGCAGGAAGATGCAAGGGCTGGCGTTTTGTTGTAGTGGGACCGTGGGGACTGGGTTTCCCCAAGGGTTTGCCAAGGCGTTGTCAGTCCTGCATCATGCCCCAGCCCCTCCCTCGGCCCTGCTGTGCTCCATCCACCTGCCATGAACATACCTTTCCCTGATTAGTACTCTGCATAAGACACCCCTTCTCATTGCAGGCTTCCAGAGAGTTCAGCCTGCATAGAGGAAAGTTTGTCATGTCCCTCAGCAGGTGGCAGTGAGGCGGCTGCAGTGCAGTCAAAGGGAGGTGTGCTCCATGTGGCATCCCAGGGTTCAGTGCATTCAGGGGCTGCCCTGTGGCTCCAGTGACATAGCACCTGGCGTCTCCGCCTCCCCTGTCCTGCCTGCCTGAGCCCCACACTCCAGAGCTTCTTCCAGCAAACCCGCATCCTCCTGACATCCTCTCCTCTGCTCATTTTCACTGGCCTGGTTGTTCTGAGGTGAGGTCCTTGAAGGTGGAGCCTGCTTGTTGCCCAGTGACAGCCTGTAGGCCGGTCTGGGGGGAAGCAGGGAGAGCCAGCCCGGCATGAGCTCTTCATTGCCTGTTGACTGTCTCACGGACCTGGGCTGAGCCTGAGAAAGGAGAAGCTCCCCTTCCTGCCCACAGCCCAACCAAGGGGCTGACCCCACCTGTCCCTTCCCCTGCCAGGGATAAAGGGGCTCAGAGAGCCCCCAGAGGAATGAGAGGAGGGTTCCATCATGGTGCGGGTGCCCCTGCTCAGACCTGGCCTTCTCCATCTCCCAGGGGGGTCTGGCCTCCAGGGGTCTCACCTAGCCCCATGCCCACCCCCACAGATGCTGTGGCTGCTGTTCCTGACCCTCCCAGGCCTGGGGGGCTCTGTGCCTCTGTTCCCAAGTGAGTCCTGACTCTCGACCCCCATTTTCTGCCTCAGGTTGCCCAGAACCCTCAGCACGAGGAGCTCAGGGTGGGACTGGTGGCCCACTCCTGGGAGGGACTGAGTGTGAGAGTTCCTGCTGCGGTCTATGATGGTACCCCTTTTTGTTTCCCAGACCCAAACTCGAGGAGGGAGCAGGGTGGCAGGTGGGGGTGCACAGTGCCCCTGCTGGACCATGGCCTTGGCAATTCAGCCTCCAACAGTTCGAGGAGCTTGAGCTGTGGCCACACACATGAGGGGACTCCCTCACCCACCAGCAGTGGGTGCTGACCACCGCCCATTGTGCCCAGTGGTGAGTCACACAGCCTGATGCCCCCTGGGCAGAGGTGGGCGTGGGGAGTACACAAAGTGGTGATTGGAGAGAGGTTTGGGCAGGTCCCTGGGTGTCAGGGAAAGCCACTGTTAGTGGACGGCCCAGTTGTTGCTGCTGTGCCAAGACTGGGTGAGGAGGGTCCCCTCACCTCCTCTGAGAAGCTCCTGGCCCCTCTCCCTCAGGGAGGACTTGGAGGCTTGTGCAGTCAGGGTCCGAGTTGGGCAGCTGAGACTCAATGACCAGGACAAACTGACAAATGGGACTCAGATCATCTGCCACCCCAAGCTCACCTGCACGCAGCCCATCTGCCAAGGAGGGTGCAGGCATTGCCCTCCTGAAACTGGGGGCCTGGGGACACTCTCCAAGCACATCAGCCGGGTCACCCTCCCACCTGCCTCCCCAAAGGTCCCTGAGAAGAGGATGCGCTGGGTGACCGGCTGGGGTTCCATCAGCCTCACAGGTAAGGCTCAGGGAGGCCTGGTGGGGTGTGTGCAGATGCAGGGTGGTCTGCTGGATGTGTGGGAGTGGCTTTGCTGAAAATGCTTTATTCCCTGCAGTTTTGGGGAATCCGCCACCTTTTGGTTGTGGCAAAGTACACAGAACGAAAACTGACCATGTTAAGCACTGTTAGGCACACAGGTCAGTGAGGTGAGCACACTCCCACTGCTGCGCAGCCATCACCACTGCCTTCTCCAGGACGTCCTCGCCCCCAGACAGAAGCTTTGTCCCCCTGCAGTGATGCCTCCCGCCCCCTGGGCTCCGGTAACCACGACCCTGCTGTCTGTTTCTGTGGAATCACCTGCTCTGGACATTTCGAGTAAATGGGAATCACACAACGTGTGTGTGTGTGTGTGTGTGCGTGTGTGTCGGGCTTCTTTCACTTAGCAGGAGGTTTTTCCAAGGTTGGGCTGCCTTAAAGCACGTGTCAGGACTTCATTCCTTTTTATGGCCAAATAACATTCCATTGTGTGGACGGAACATTTTCTTGTCAAATCCTGAGCTGACAGACTCTTTCCACCTTCAGCTGTTGTGAACTTGTGCTGCCGTGAACTTGTGTGTTTGAGCAACTGTTAGAGTAGCTTTTCTCAATTTTATTTTTCAGTTACAGTTTGTATTCAATATTATTCTGTATTAGTTCAAGGTGCACAGCACAGTGATTAAATAATCATATATTAAGACTTTATAAACTGTTCTCCCCCCCTCCCCGATATCTGCAGTGCCCTCCAGGCACCGCACACAGTGTCCACAGCACCACGGGCTTTGCCCCCTGTGCTGGGCTGCGTCCCCGTGACTGTCTGTGACGGCCAATCTGTCCTTCTGCATCCCTTCCCCTTTTCACACAGTCGCCTCTCCCACTCTGGCCACCCTGTCTGTTTTCTGCCTCTATGGCCTGTTTCTGTTTTATTTGTTTATTTTGTTCTTCAGATTCCGCGTATGAGTGAGATCATGTGGTATCTGTCTTTCTCTGACTGACTTCTTTCACTGAGCATAATGGTAAGATTTCATCCTTTTCATGGCCATGTGGAGCGTTCCACTGTGTGTATGTGCCCCCACTTGTCTGCACTCGTCTGCTGAGTACCGAGTGTACTGGGCACTTCAGTTGCTTCCAAATCCTGGCGGTTGTAAGTAACGCTGCAATGAACACGGGGGTGCGCACGTTCTTTCCAGTTAGTGTTGGGGTTTCTTCCCATATGTACCCAGAAGTGGGGTCACTGGGTCATAGGGGAGATCCATTCTGAGTTTTGGAGGAAATTCCATGCTGTTTCCCACAGTGGCTGCACCAGTCTGCACTCCCACCAACAGTGCACCAGGGTTCCCTTTTCTCCACAGTCTCGCCAGCACTTGTTGTTTGTTGATTTATTGATGATGGCCATTCTGACTGGTGGGAGGTGATACCTCATTGTGGTTTTAATTTGAGTTTCTCTGATGATTAGTGATGTTGAGCATCTTTTTATACGTCTCTTGGCCCGCTGTCTTTCCCCTTAAAATATTAAATTTATTGGGGTGGCATTGGTTAGTGAGACTGCAGGGGTTTGAAATATAGAATCCTATGATACATCACATGCATGTGCTACTGAACAGCAAGTGGGGTCCCACTGCCCGCCGCCTCCCTCCAGGCAAAATCCCAGAGGCAAAGCTTCGGTGATGAAGGGAAGGAGTCTTTATTCCAAAGCTTCACAGTTTTGGAATAACAGCTTTCACGTGCACTAGTCATTTAAGTCTGTCAATTAAGACTAAACTTGTTGATTCCACTGCTGGGACTCTATCCTAAGAATACTAAAACACCAATCCAAAAGAACCTATGCATCCCAATGTTCATAGCAGCACGATTTACAATAGCTACATGCTGGAAGCAACCAAGATGCCCCTCAGTAAATGAATGGATCAAAAAACTATGGTACATTTACACAATGGAATTTTATGCAGCTGAAAGAAAGTCGAAACAGCTTGGATGGAGCTGGAAAACATTATGCTAAGCGAAAGAAGCCAGGCAGTGAAAGTCAAATACCATATGATCTCACCTTTAACAGGAACCTAAACAACAAAACAAAGAAACAAGCAAAATATAACCAAAGACACTGAAATAGGGGACAGGCTGACAATGACCACAGGGGAGAGTAGAGGGAATTTCAGGGGACATTGGGAAGGGTTCAGAGGAACAAACTTAAAGGACACATGGACAAAAACTAGGGGGAGGGTGGTAATGGGAGGGAAGTGGGGAGGGGCGGTAGGGGGGACTGGATTGGGAGTAAAAGGGAGAAAACTGTATTTGAACTATGATTAAAATAATAAATAAATAAATAAATAAATAAATAATTTTTTAAAAAAGACTAAACTTGTTAACACCTGAGTTCCCCTATCATTCCCCTGTTAGTTTGACTTTTCAGGGCATCACAGTTGGAGTACATGCTGGTATGATGTTCACTTCCTTAAATTCTTGGGGGCTATTTTTGTGTTCCAACGTGTGGTCTAACCTTGAGAATGTTCCATGTGCACTGGAGAAGGATGTATAATCTGGTGTTCTGGGGTGAAAGGACGTGTAGATATCAGTTATGTCCATTAGGTCTAATGTGCTATTTAAGGCTGATATATCTCATGTGTGTGTGTGTGTGTGTGTGTGTGTGAGAGAGAGAGAGAGAGAGATTATGCCATTACAGTTGTCCCATTTTCTTCTCCCCTTTATTCCCCTTCACCCTGTACCCCCCACCAGCATTCCAAACCCCTTATCTCATGTCCCTGGGTCATACATGTAAGCTCTTTGGCTTCTCCATTTCTTATACTATTCCTAACCTTCCCCTGTCTATCTTCTACCTACCACTAATGCTTCTTATTCCCTGTACCTTTTTCCCCTCTCCCTCCACCCCCTCCCCACTGAAAACCCTCCATGTGATCTCCATTTCTGTGATTGTGTTCCCGTTCTGGTTGTTTGCTTAGCTTGTCTTTGTTTTTGTTGTGTTTTAGGTTCAGGTGTTGATACTTGTGAGTTTATTGTCATTTTACTGTTCATCGTTTTGATCTTCTTTTTTTAGATAAGTCCCTTTAACATTTCATATAATAAGGGCTTGGTATAGATGAATTCCTTTAATTGACCTTATCTGGGAACCGCTTTATCTGCCCTTGCGTTCTAAATGAAAGTTTTGCTGGATAGAGTAATCTTGAATATGGGTCCTTGTCTTTCATCACTTGGAATCCTTCTTTCCAGCCCCTTGTTGCCTGCAAGGTTCCTTTGGAAAAATCACCTTATAGTCTTATGGGAACTCCTTTGTAGGTAACTGTCTTTTTTTCTCTTGTTGCTTTTAAGATTCTCTCCTTATCTTTAATTTTGGGTAATGTAATTATGATGAGCCTTGATGTGTGCTTCCTTGGGTCCAACTTCTTTGGGACTCTCTGAGCTTCCTGATCTTCCTGGAAGTCTATTTCCTTTGGCAGTTTGGGGAAGTTCTTCTTCATTTTTTTTTAAATAAGTTTTCAGTTTCTTGCTTTTTCTCCTTCTGGCACCCCTGTGATTCGAATGTTGGAACATTTAAAGTTGTCCCTGAGGTTCCTAAAGCCTCTCTTCATTGTGTTGAATTCTTGTTTCTTTATTCTGTTCTGGTTGAATATTTCTTTCTTTCTTCTGCTCCAAATTATTGATTTGAATCCTGATTTCCCTCCCTTTGTTATTGGTTCCCTACATATTTTTCTTTATTTCACTTTGCATAGCCTTCACATCCTCCTCTATTTTTTGACCATCCTCAAGTATTTCTGTCAGTATCCTGATTATCACTGTTTTGAATTGTGCATCTGGTAGGTTGTCCATCTCCTCATTGCTTAGTTCCTTTCCTGAAGTTTTGATCTGTTCTTTAATTTGGGCCATATGTCTTTGTCTCAGCACACCTGTTACATTGTAAGGGGTGGAGTGTTAGGTATTCACCAGGGCAGGGCAAAGTGCGTTGCTGTGTTGTGGTGCTATATGTGGGGACGGTTCTGAGAGGGAACAATGCTGCTTTCTCGGTTTTCCACCCACTTTCAGTCAGTTCCTGTGTTACCCACAAGCAAATTGGGCCCTTCTGGTGCTGATTCCAGGGTGAGTGGGTTTGTGTACATTCTAGGACCCTGTGGGTCTGTCCAACGAACTGTCCTGTGAGGCTGGGAGTTTCTCTCCGTGCTGCAATCTCCACAGATTTTTACAGTCAGAAGTTTTGAGGCTTTATTTACCAGTGCTGAAACCCGGGGATGCGAGGTCTGTCTCCCTCCTCCATTATTCCTTCTGGTTTATCTGTATGGGAATGTGGGGCTGTGGCAGGGAAAGAAAACACCATCAACAAAAGTTTTTATGCTCTGTAGATAAGCAGTGCTCTCTGTAACACTTGCAAATGTCACAGTGCCTTTGTTTTTGTATGATGGGGAGCTGACTAGGAGCCGTCACCAAGGTAACAGTTATCTCAAGGCCAAAATACTGACCTTCGCTTCTGCTTCTGTATGCTTGCTTTAGCAAATGACTCACCCCCTCCTCCATTCTGCCTTGTAACAAGTATTTAAAGAAGACTCCAGCCCAGCCTTTTGGGGCTCAGAATTTGGGATTCCCCTCTGAGCCCCTCAGGTAATAAAGTTTGTGCTTTGTCATCTCTCTGTGAGTGAGTGATTTTCTGCAACAGGGCCACCCGGTCTGCCAGCCACCGCCTCTCCCGCCTTGTCCTCCATCTGCCACCTTTCCGTGAGCATTCTCTTCCCCCTGGCTGCCCCTCTCTGCCCCTCCTACCAGTCTGGATGAATGTTTCTTCTTTAACCCCTTGGTTGTAGGACTTCTGCACAGTTTGATTTTCTGGCAGTTCTGGTGATTTTTTCTTTTTAAATTTGTTGTTTTCCTTCTTTTGGTTGTGTGAGGAGGCCAATTGTATGTACCTATGCCTTCATCTTGGCTGGAGGTCTCAGTAGTTTTTTTTTTAATTGAATTTATTGGGGTGACATAGTAAAATGATATAGGTTTCACCTGTACAATTTTATAATGCATCATCTGTATATTGTACTGTGTGTTCACCACCCAATCAAGTCTCTGTACATCACCATTTGTCCCCAGTTTACCCCCTTCTACCTCCCCCCACCCACCTTTCCCTCTGGTGATCACCATACTGGTGTCTGAGTTTTGTTTGTTTGTTTGTTTGTTTTTGCTTAATCACTTCACCTTTTTTATCCATCCCCACAACCTCCCTCCC